TTATTATATATATTGTAATATATTATTAATATATATAATATAATATATATATATATATATATATATATGAATGCTGTTCGTTAGTCTCCGCTAAACTCGAGAACGGCTGAAACGATTTATCTTATCTTGGTTTGCAAATGTTTCGTGACGTTCTAGGGAAGGTGAAAAGTTGAGGAAAAATTCGAATAATTCCCTGGACAACCTCAAAATCCCTTTTCTATTTCCATACAAAGTTTTCTAAATAAAATGGCAGAGTCAATTTGTAATTTATTACCGCTGCCATAAGAGTTCAGAATTCCGCGTGCGCGTTTGGAGTATCTCAATATGTGTGTGTGTATGTGTGTTGTGTGTGTGTGTGTGTGTGTGTGATGTGTGTGGTGTGATATTTGTGAGTTCGTGCAACATCTAAACACAACAGCAAGCCTAGACATAATGATATTGAGCGAATCGCAGACCGCAGTGGCTCCTGTGATTCTGCAAGCGAGACCACTTATGGATTAATATTATTGTGCCGACAAATCGGTAACAATTGGGGAATTGAAAATAATTTATCAATATTGTAAGGCGTTAAAATACACTGGTGAATCTACTGGATTATGTTGTGCTGGAGGCAAAGTAAAATTGCTACAATTGGTCCCACCACCAGATCCTTTACGCTCTTTAGTGTCTGGGATTGGAAATGATTCTAAGCACTTCTTGACCAACATTCAGATATATAACAGCTGTTTCCAGATTACATCATTTGGCGCTACACATATTATACAGGACAATTTCATGCCCACATTCAAGATATTATACCAGAATATTTTTTATAATATTCAAGTTTGTACTAAATGAATGGAAAATTGTTAAAAATTACAGATACAAGGACAAATTTATCACTTACTGGGAATACTGTTACCGCTACCTGATGCAGATCATCAATTTTTACAAATTTATTTTATGGGCAATTCAGATGCGGAAATTGATAATCGTTGTGCTCACAATCCAACTGTGAAGAGAACCATTGTCCAAGAATTACAAATGTTTCTTCATCAGAATAACAATTAAGTAAACATGTTCAAAATAGCATTGGATCGGATGCCATCTAATAGTCATGATATTATCATTCGAGCTGAGAAAACACCTGCCGGTGAACACACAAGGAGGTTTAATTCACCTACCATTGATGATGTGGCTGTTGTCATTGAGGGAGAAAATTGACAATCTAGAGATATTGTGCTTCATCGTCGGAATAGTGATTTAAAACGTGTATCTGAAACACACAGGAGTTATGATGCACTATAATATCCTTTGATCTTCTGGCAGGGAGAAGCTGGATAACATTTTAATATCAAAATGGTAAATCAAGTAACAGGTAAATAAATTGAACTCGATTAAATAATATTTTAAATTCAATTCATCTAAGTAACAATTTAAACATTTATCATTTTTGATTGCAGGTTCTGAAACCAACAAAAATGTTAGTGCTATGAATGTATATTCATATAGACTCATGATCCGTCAAGGTGAAGTAAATCATATTTTGATGAGTCAACGACTTTTTCATCAGTTTGCAGTTGGCATGTATGCCAAAATTGAGACTGAACGATTGACATATATCCGTTTGAACCAACGACGGCTACGATCAGAGAAATACATTAATCTCCGCAATGCTATAAATGCCGATGGCAATGTGAATATTGTAGGAAATATGACAATTTTGCCAGCCACTTATACAGGAAGCCAATGCCACATGCATGAATATGCTCAGTATGCTATGTGATATGTTAGGCATTATGGCCGCCCAGATTTATTTGTTACATTCACATGTAACCCAAAATGGTCCGAAATCGAGAAGGAATTACTACATAGCGAAACACCAGTTGGTAGACATGACATAACTGCCAGAGTTTTTAAACAAAAATTAAAATCTCTCATGGATTTCTTAATAAAGCATTGTGTGTATGGCCGAGTACGTTGTTGGATGTACTCTGTAGAATGGCAAATCGTGGATTGCCACATGCGCACCTTTTAGTCTGGTTAGTGGACAAAATAA